AATAAAGAGATCTAGTGGATGCGTAAAACAATATGGGATAAGAGTCTGTGTTTGAGAACTTGCTGCTAGTGTGCTATCTTGATATCTACACAATATCACACAACAGAGAAGAATATTGAACTACCTTTTAAAATAATTTTGAATGAGTTATCAAACATATTTATCCGTGTTGTGGAAATGCCTTTCAGTACACCAGGCGTATAATGCTCTTTTCTTCATTATTTGCTTTCGTGGTAATCTTCGACAGAACGATTTTGTGTACAGCACCAAGACGATCAGCCTGAAAAGAATAATCTCCAACCTTCTTTTTGAACTTCATCATTCATTTAAAGAACTTTTGGCAGAAAATCAACCATTGATTAACATTGGTTAATTACATACTTCCTAGTTAAACTTAATTGTTTGCTGCTCTTTTCGCAACTAAAACTAAGTATAAAGACCTAATATCTTTTCCCAATGTTTTAATAAAGTAATGCAATGCGTTTCAATAGCTCTTTCTATAGCTCTTTCTTTTTCTAAATTGAGAATTGTGACAGATGTGAGAATCTTGAGCATTTGAAAATGCAACAATGTTAAATTTGGAAAATTCTCGGTTTTCTTCTGTTTCCCAGAATTCAAGTTGAGTTTGACATATTACGAAAGACGTTAGATAAAACGACAATTTCCATTCTGTCTATAAAAGGCTACGATCACATTCTAGGGGAAGATAATCGCTTTATTTTTGAGAATTAATCGATGAAACTATAAAATCACTGTGCGCATTACCAATATTAACTGTACAATGAGATATTGACATAACTCAGTGTAAGAACATCATTATTTTCTGAGTATTCACGTGATGTATTACAAAATACCGTTGATTTGATAACAAACTTGTAGTTGAATAGTCATCTATCTATTGCTAAACTCCGCAATTACATATACGGTACAGCGAACACATCGATGCAATAACACGTAAGGCGCCGCAATTCAAAAATCAATTAGAAAAGCTTTTGAAATTTCAAACTCATATTCTGATTCGTCGGACGCTGCTGATCACGAATTTGATCTTATTTTTCCCATTTGACCGAGTTCTCGTGCAGAAAACCTCAAAATACTGTGATGGCGTCAAAAACCTCGAAAAACCGATTTTTCAGAAAAATCTCGATTTTCTCCTGATTTTTTCATTTTTCGATTTCATCGGTGCGGTTTACGGATCCAGCATCGCGAAGCACATCTAGGCACTTAACACTGGATGACTTTTCTTCAAGTCTTAAACTCTTATAGCTGATCAAACACTGATCACTCGAACCTTGAGATTCTCACTGCGCAATGTTATTTAGTTTTTTGCCATGAGAGCTAGAGACTTCTTTCATACGCCAGAAGATTCGCTTTGTCTTTCTCCATAAAAGTATGCTTCGTTTTTTTCAAAACGTTTTTCCTTTTAGGAGAAACTAGAAAAGGACTGAAAAAGTACGAGTTTTTCGAAAAATCCTTCAGGTGATGAGCACATAGCTCAGTGATATTTCCACCGAGAGAACTGCTATTATGGTTTTCTAGGTAAAAGCAATGCTGAATACATTAGAAATGCGTTTGAGAGGTTTAGAGTTTTTCAAGTAGGTTTCGCAAAAAAGCAGAACTCTGAGAAACCTTCAGGAGCCTTTCGGATATCTTTTTCGTCCCAAGCGCATCATATCGACAGAGCGTCAAATTCTGAGCAAAATGAGACGTCCTCGAGCCTTCTAGCACGTCTCTAGGCTAAAATAAGCCCATTTTACTTTCCGAGATCCGGCTGACCCGATATCCTTTGCGAGATTTGCCAATAACTCAGCCTAGAAAGACGCTGGAAAGCCCGGGAAGCTCTCGTTGCACACAGCATCAAAGTAGTTAATTATTTTTGTGCTTACTCAATATTTTTAATATCGTGAAGGGTATCCTTTCATTCTTATACATTTATAAAGTCGATTTGGCACCGAATCGACTAATTTTTATGTTATATCATTCCACCAAAAGACATCGCTTCAGATCATCTTTATTTTTCGGCTGATGGTTTTTTATTCATACTAAGGATCTTATTACAGCGACTTAATATATAGTCTGTATGATTATTGCACGATAGAAATGCTAAGATAACTCCTAAATGCTTACGTTGCAGAACTTCCTCCAACTCGGCTCCCTTTATTTTTGTTTTATTATGATGGTTATTGTTATGTATTGAGAAAGTCATTGTTTTACATTTATCAATATTTAAATTCATTTTCCAAGCAATACACCATTTGGAGATCATTTCTAGAGCTCGGGTGAATTGATCGCCCGCCAGTCATATTCTTATTCGTAATAAAGAGTAAAGCATCAACAGCAAACAGGCGTAACTTAGACTCAATGATCTTTCCGTCTATGTACCCAAAATCCTCAATGTAGATTAAAAAAAGAAGTGGGTCCAAAATACTTTACATTTTAACTTGAAGAGCAGTTCTGTTACCCATACTTTATCGAAAGCTTTCGATAAATCGAGAAATATAGTCCTAGCTTGGCACTGCCTATCGAAACCTAATGCTGTATGAAGAACAATATGGATCAGTTGTAATACAGTTGAGTGTCGTTTCCTGAATCCAGCTCGAGATGATGAAAGAAGATTGTTAATAGTAAGATGCTCATAGAGGTGATTGTGAATAAGACGCTCTAGTACTTTGGACATAGCAGGCAACAGTGTTATGAGGCGATAATTCTCACAAAGGTGATGGTCTCCTGACTTAAAAATAACTTGCACATAGCCTCTTCTACAAATATCTGGGAAGAGGCCGTTTTTTACAGATAAATTAAACAAATAGGCTAGGGGAATACACAGAGCCGATGCACACTCTTTCAAAATTCGGTTAGAAATACCTAGAGCATTAGCTTTAGAAGGAGACAGACGAAGCAGAACTTTATCAACATCAAGAGCAAAAATGTTTATTGTGCTTAGTTTCTTGGTCGAGATAGGTATTTTTTCTGTTGTTATCATCCCTTTCCTTATCATATAAAATGCACACAGACGAGAAATAATTATTAATAGGTTTGCTTTATCAAGTCTGTCTGTGACCAAAGTGCCTGAGGCGTCCTTCAGAGGAGGAATAGAAGAAGTTTTATTCTTATGGACTGTTTCAAACATCACGCTCTCGTAGAAACATTTGGTGAATAGCTTATTTTCTGAATATAGTTCTGTTTAGCGTTTTGACAAGCAGTTTTAAATTCAGTTGAAGCAATATGATATTTATCTCGATTGATATCGCTATCAACCTGCCGCCACTCTTTATATAATCGATTTTTCCTGTTATACAATTTACGTAGATCACTTGCGAACTAATGCTGATCAGAAGTATTAATACTAATGAGCTTATTTGGGATAACGGAGTCAACGAGTTGGAGAAGGTATTGCTCGAAAAGGAAAAATTCAGCACACTTATAGGGTACTCCCACTACAAGCTCCGTATTCATTTCAAGAGAAAGAAAGCTTTGGTGCTGTCTGATCGTGTGGCTTACCCATACTCGACAGTTTTGATCAATTATTTTATATTAAGTTTAGTTTTAATAGCTTTTACAATTAATTATTCTTGTTTCGTGTATGCAGTACATTCAATTTCAACTTTAGCATTAGCTGGTAAAGTTTTGACAGCAAAGGTTGAGCGAGCTGGGTAATTTTCCATTGAAGGAAAGAATGATGCATAAATTTGATTTACGGATTGAAAATCATTCATATCAGTTAACAGCACAAGACATCGTGCAATTTGAGTCAGATCTGCTCCAGCTGCATGCAAGACGGCTTGTATATTTCGAAATACTTGCTGAGTTTGATTTCGCACGTCGTCTGATACCAGTTGACCTGTTGAAGGATCGATTCCAATTTGACCACTCAAATAAAGAAGGTAATTAATTTGTATGGCTTGATTATATGGTCCAATTGGTTTTGGAGCATCCTATAAAGTATAAAACACGACAAACAAACGATGAAAGAGAGAAAATATAACAAAAGTTTTTGCGCACTGGTGTTAGTATAACTTTCTTTTTAACATCGTAGTCTTTTAATTGCTCTTTGAATATAATTCCGTCTGTATCTGGTTTTAAAGCCACAAAACTGAGTTGAGCGACGAAACAAAGTAAGAAAATAAATAAAATATTAAAGTTCTTCATTGAAATAGAATTTAATTAAATGTTAAAGACAATGTTTGTAGGTTAGAAAACCTTTACTTATAAACAAGATGATATCTCTATCGTATGTTAGATAAATAACGAAACGTAAGCGCAGGTGAAACTGCGCTTTTTCTGTTTCATCACTTTTGTTTGCTTAGTCAGAATAAATCTTTAATTTGAAAAAGCTTGTAAACGCAGTCTGATGAAGCGAAACACATAACGAAGAAATTCTGTTTGAAAATAAAAAATATCATATTTACAAGCATTATTCTTGTATCAAAGTATAGAATGTTTCCTAATGGTAGCCATATCGGTCTAGAGATAGGAATATTTACTGGTAGAATTTTTCGAATTGTTTTTGAATTTCAACGGAGATATATTTCGAGTAAAGGAAAGTTGAACCTAAAGCATCCAGACAAGACAGCGGAATGACATCAACGAACTAGTATCCTTTCCGAAAGAAAAGTTTTGTTAGCCGAGAGAACACAGAATCCTTCTGTGGCTGATTTACTTGCATGATAAGATTTCCCTCTTCCTCCACCTTTCACTTCCCACGGAAGACTAACGAGGGAACATCTCCAAGTGTGAGTCTCAGTTTTAAATGGGATATGTACCAGTTTGTAGAGCTCGACGAGCTGATTCTTCTGGTATGTTCCGTTTTTGCCC